GTCGCCCAGCTAAGTTGGTCGCCGGCTACACCTGACTGGCGTCCCTAGAAGAGGTGTCCCAGCACCCTGGTCGGCGTCCTGACGCCTAGGTCGGCGTCCAGGTGCTCAGGACACCGTGCAGACGCCCTGGACGGCGTCCAGGCACCCAGGGCGCCGTCCAGACGCCCCAGGTCGGCGTCTAGGCGCCCAGGACGCCGTCCAGACGCCTAGGTCGGCGTCCAGCCTCCCAGGACGCCGTCCAGGCACCCAGGTCAGCGTCCAGGCTCCTAGGACGCCGTCCAGACGCCCAGGACGGCGTCCTCCTGTTCGGCGTCCTCCTGCCAGGCGCCCTCCAGCTCGGCGCCCTCCTGCTAGGCGCCCTCCAGCCAGGCGCCCTCCAGCTCGGCGCCCGCCACTGCAGCTGATCGGCTGCGCTCCCCGCACGCCCGACAACGAAGTCGGCTCCACCCAAGCGAGGACGGGGCCAACCACAACTCCCGTTGACAGCTACCTTCGACTCGAGACAAGGGGAGCAGCGGTTGGCGACACTGATTTCGAAGAAGGAGAAATCACGCAACCGGAAGATCGCCGCCCGGGAATCATGCCAACGCCTCTAGAAGCATCACTGGAACAGTCGACACAATCACCATCGGCGACACCAGCGGCACGCTTCATGGAGCACGACTCGAGACGCATCACATGGCAGCAGTTCAAGTCCTCCTGCCAGAAGAACCTGCGGAAGAAGTGGGAAAGGAGACCGCAAAGAAAACTTTAGCACGAGAGAAAGAGCTCTACACACGCACGAAAGGATACCGCGCCGACCCCGACATCTGGCACCAACGATTCGGGCACCCATCAATCGATGTGCTCAACAACTGCATCAACGCAAAGGTATTTGCGGAAGACGCACTGTTGCTGCTGGATGGAAAGCTGTTGAAGCCAAGAACCGACTTACCCAATTGCACCGACTGCCCGACAGCTGCGCTGCGTCACACCCCCCTCGCCAAAAACATACATGGAGCCGAGCGATACAAACCACTCGACCAGGTCTACAGCGACGTTTTGGTGCTCACAGCAAAGGGGCTAGGAGGGGAGCATCATCGACGCCGTCACGCGCTTTGTCTGGGCTGTGAACGTCAGCAACCGCTACCTCGCCTACTGCAGTTTCTATCTGTGGCTCAACATGGCGGAGACCCGGAGCGAAGGCAAGAAGCTGAAGGCCTTCCAAACCGACGGAACATTGGAGTACTAGACAGAGGACTTCAAAACCCACTGTGCAGAAAGGGGAATCCAGAGAATGATTTCTCTCCCCTACGCTCACGAGCAACAGGGACTGGCGGAGCAAACCAATAGGAGCCTCGCGACAAAGATGCGAGCTCTCATGAAGCAGTCAGCTGTGCCAACCAAAATTTGGCCCTTCGCGATGGCGCATGCAGTCCGTCTGCACAACATGCTTTCTTCGAAAGCCCTGCCCAACAATACCTCACCATTCAAGGAGTGGACCGGGAGAAATCCAGACACACGCATGCTTCGGGTCTTCGGGTGCATGGTACAGTACCGTCCCCACAATGCCCGAACCGGAAAATTTGAAGACCGTGCCCGTTGGAGCATTCACCTCGGAATCGAATCAGAGTACCACGCTTGGACCATCCTCGACTTCGCCACCCACCAAGTCACGCGTTCACGTGGTTGCATCTTCTACGAAAGGCTGACCCTTCCACTGTACCGACAACAACGCAATGCAAGCAACGCACCGGACCACAATTTCCAGGGGCAGCACAGCTACGCAAGCGATGAGGACGAGGTTGACGTGGCAGGACAACAGCCAGAGGAAACAACTGCAGAAGAATTACCCTTCGTCCCCGTTGACTTCGGCACCGCGCATTTCTTCCCAACCGATCCCGATCAACACGAAGCAGTACAGGCACAACATGATTACGCAAGTGCAGAAATGCACTCACCGATGGACGAAGATCCCAACCGCAACTCCTCCCGCGACACCATTCGCGACATCCCTGGCGACGATGACAACTTGGTCAAAGTTACCAACGCAACTCAGTCCAGCCTCACCGGACTTCGCATCCTGGGCCTCGCCGTCTCCATCCGCGGTAATCGGCAACTGGTTGAGCCCACTACCGTTCGCCAGGCTCTGAGCGGACCCGATGTTGAGAAGTGGAGAGCAGCCATGGCCGCAGAAGTTGTTGCCCTCCAAAGGCGCGGCACCTCGAAGGTATTACCACGACGACACGCAAAGGGGAGGAAAATCCTCATAGGAAAACGGGTGTTCCGCATCAAGACACTCGTGGACGGGTCAATCGAGAAGTACAAAGCACGCTGGGTGGTCCGGGGTTTCGAGCAGACACACAACATCGACACGACCAAACCTTCGCGCCGGCCGGACGATACACGTCTGTACGAATCCTAATCTGCATCGCCGCCGTGAAGCAGCGCCCATTGCGCAAGTTCGACGTGTCAAACGCGTTCCTCTAAGCAATCGTTGACGCTATAATCTACGTCAAGCAGCCGTACGCCTTCGAGGAGAACGACGACGCCGTGTAACTTCTACAAAAGTCTCTGTACGGCATCAAACAGGCACCGCGACTGTGGCAGCAGTACCTCCACACGGTCCTCATCGAACTCGGATTTCAGCAGCTGCCACATGACAAGGGATGTATCGGCTCGAGTCTCGCGGGAGCTTCATTCTGCTCGTGGCCTACGTGGACGATCTAGTTTACACCGGAGACAACACGGAGCTCCTTGATCGCTTCGAACGCGACATCAAGGAGAAGCTGGAGGTGACCGTCGATCACAACGTCACCCAATTCCTCGGCCTCAATGTCACCCAGACAGCCGACACGATCCACATGTCCGCCGCGAAATACGCCGAGACACTCGCTATGAAGTTCGGCATCGCTCCCATCGGCATCACAACCCCCTTCCACATCCCTCCTCCTAACCACGAGCCCGACACCACCCCACTTTCCACTGCCGATCATCGCCTCTATCAACAGCAGCTCGGGTGCCTGCTCTTCGTCGCCGTCACATGCCGCACGGACTTGTCGTATTTGCGAGTGTTGCACGCGAGGGATGCACGCGAGGGGTGCATGCGAGGGGTGCACGCGAGGGGTGCACGCGAGGGTTGCACGCGAGGGGTGCACGCGAGGGTTGCACACGAGGGTTGCATGCGAGGGGTGCACGCGAGGGGTGCACACGAGGGGTGCATGCGAGGGGTGCACGCGAGGGGTGCACGCGAGGGTTGCACGCGAGGGGTGCACGCAAGGGGTGCACGCGAGGGGTGCACGCGAGGGTTGCACGCGAGGGGTGCACGCGAGGGGTGCACGCGAGGGTTGCACGCGAGGGTTGCACGCGAGGGTTGCACGCGAGGGTTGCACGCGAGGGGTGCACGCGAGGGTTGCACGCGAGGGGTGCACGCGAGGGGTGCACGCGAGGGGTGCACGCGAGGGGTGCACGCGAGGGTTGCACGCGAGGGTTGCACACACGAGGGTTGCAGGCGAGGGGTGCACGCGAGGGGTGCACGCGAGGGGTGCACGCGAGGGGTGCACGCGAGGGGTGCACGCGAGGGGTGCACGCGAGGGGTGCACGCGAGGGGTGCACGCGAGGGGTGCACGCGAGGGGTGCACGCGAGGGTTGCACGCGAGGGGTGCACGCGAGGGTTGCACGCGAGGGGTGCACGCGAGGGGTGCACGCGAGGGTTGCACGCGAGGGTTGCACGCGAGGGTTGCACGAGAGGGGTGCACGCGAGGGGTGCATGCGAGTGTTGCACGCGAGGGGTGCACGCGAGGGTTGCACGCGAGGGTTGCACGCGAGGGTTGCACGCGAGGGGTGCACGCGAGGGTTGCACGCGAGGGGTGCACGCGAGGGGTGCACGCGAGGGTTGCATGCGAGGGGTGCACGCGAGGGTTGCACGCGAGGGGTGCACGCGAGGGGTGCACGCGAGGGGTGCACGCGAGGGTTGCACGCGAGGGGTGCAGGCGAGGGTTGCACGCGAGGGGTGCACGCGAGGGTTGCATGCGAGTGTTGCACGCGAGGGATGCACGCGAGGGGTGCATGCGAGGGGTGCACGCGAGGGTTGCACGCGAGGGTTGCACGCTAGGGGTGCACGCGAGGGTTGCACGCGAGGGTTGCACGCGAGGGGTGCACGCGAGGGGTGCACGCGAGGGGTGCACGCGAGGGGTGCACGCGAGGGGTGCACGCGAGGGGTGCACGCGAGGGGTGCACGCGAGGGGTGCACGCGAGGGGTGCACGCGAGGGTTGCACGCGAGGGTTGCACGCGAGGGGTGCACGCGAGGGGTGCACGCGAGGGTTGCACGCGAGGGTTGCACGCGAGGGGTGCACGCGAGGGGTGCACGCGAGGGGTGCACGCGAGGGGTGCACGCGAGGGTTGCACGCGAGGGTTGCACGCGAGGGTTGCATGCGAGGGGTGCACGCGAGGGTTGCACGCGAGGGTTGCACGCTAGGGGTGCACGCGAGGGTTGCACGCGAGGGGTGCACGCGAGGGGTGCACACGAGGGGTGCACGCGAGGGGTGCACGCGAGGGGTGCACACGAGGGTTACACGCGAGGGGTGCACGCGAGGGGTGCACGCGAGGGTTGCATGCGAGGGTTGCAATCTGAAAATTATTCAACTACCAAACCCCCACCTCCCAACCCACCCCCCTCCCCCCCCTCTTCCCCCAGATTACCAGCCGGGCGGGGCCCTCCCCATCGCCCCATCTGTCATCCCCATCACATCGGGCGACAAGGTGTACACACACACGGGCGCACACGACTACCCTTTCAATCCCTTCCTCCCCTCCCCCCTCTTCCTCTCCCCCCAGATTACCAGCCGGGCGGTGCCCTCCCCATCGCGCCGTCCGCCATCCCCATCACATCGGGCGACAAGGTGTACACGCACACGGGCGCGCACGACTACCCTTTCATTCCTGCGCCCCTTCCTCTTCCCCTCCCCCTTCCCCCTTCCCCATTCCCCCTTCCCCCTTCCCCCTTTCCCTCTTCCCACAGACTACCAGCCAGGCGGCGCCCTTCCTATCGCCCCATCCGCCATCCCCATCACATCGGGCGACAAGGTCTACACGCACACGGGCGCGCACGACTACCCCACCCCGCGCGCCATGTCTGAAGCAGAAATCCGCGCGGCGGTGCAGCAGTTCCGAGTGGCGGCCCGGAATGCCATGGAAGCAGGGTTCGATGGCGTGGAGTTGCATGGAGCTAATGGGTACCTTATTGAACAGTTCCTCAAGGTGGGTCGAGGGTTCTGGGGCAGTGCAGTGCGGTGCACACGACTACCCCACCCCGCGCGCCATGTCTGAAGCAGACATCCGCGCGGCTGTCCAGCAGTTCCGCGTGGCGGCGCGCAACGCCATGGAAGCAGGGTTCGATGGCGTGGAGTTGCATGGAGCTAATGGGTACCTTATCGAGCAGTTTCTCAAGGTACAGAGGGGGTTGTGGGGCCGTGAAGTGCAGTGCAGTGCAGTGCAGTGCAGTGCAGTGCAATGTGGTGCAATGCGTTGCCCTGGCATGGGTGTCGTGCAGCAGTTCCGAGTGGCGGCACGCAAGGCCATGGAGGCGGGGTTCGACGGAGTCGAGCTGCAGGGCGCTAATGGGTACCTTATTGAGCAGCTCTTCAAGGTACAGTGCGGTGCAGTGCGGTGCAGTGCGTTCCCATGGCATGGGCTGTAAGCTGCAGTTCCGAGTGGCGGCGCGCAACGCCATGGAGGCGGGGTTTGATTGACGGCGTGGAGTTGCATGCATGGGGCGAATGGGTACCTCATAGAGCAGTTCCTCTCAAGGTACAGTGGTGGTTGTGGGGCCGTGCATGTGCAGTGCAGTGCAATATGGTGCAATGCGTTGCCCTGGCATCGGTGTCGTGCAGCAGTTCCGCTCGGCGGCGTGGAGTTGCATGCACGGGACGAACGGGTACCTCTTAGAGCAGTTCCTCAAGGTATAGAGGGGCCTTGTGGTGGAAGGGAGGGTGCTTGTGCGTGCAATGCAGTGCAATGCATGGGCTGTAGGCTGCAGTGTAGCAGTTGCGCGTTGGCGGCGTGCCGATTTCTTCTGCCATGGCATGGAGGCCTGATTTCCCCCTCCTCCCTCTTCCCTTTCCCCCTAACAGGACAGCAGCAACAAGCGCACGGACCGGTACGGTGGATCCATCCCCAACCGCGCTAGCCAGCTCGCCCAGTACCTGCGCCGACCTGAAGGGGAGCACATGGCGGGCCTGCGACGCGCCCTACAGTACTTCATCTCCAAGCCTATTCGGTTTCTACTGAATTGCTTTCTACCGAGTTCGGGAAGGTTCTGTTCGGGACGCTTCGCGACCCTCAGAACATTCGCGTAACACCTGGGTTACCTGCCTTGTGTCGAGCCTATATATAGCCTCGTGTTGTACCCAGGTGGATCATTCAATTCAAACCCACTTTTCTGAGCTCGATCCTAGATCCTCACACAGGAGCTTATCGCCCTCTCGTCACCAAAAGCCGAGTTCATCGCAGCAAGCGCAGCAGTTCGCGAAGGATCCTACCTCACGGAGCTCCTACAGTAACAAATAAAAATGGCGATGAACGGGTCATTCAAGTTACTGTGCGACAACCAGAGCGCAATCAAGATCGCGAACAAACACAACTTCGTCAACCGCACGAAACACATTGCCCTGCGTGACTTTTCGTCAAGGACGAAATCGACAAAGGGAAAGTCCACCTCACCTACTGCCTAACTAGCGAGATGGCAGCAGACTTTCTGACAAAGAAACTGCCACGTCAGAAGTTCTAGTACTGCGCGGACCTGTGCAGAGTCGTTAAGAAGAGCCACGTGGCGTACCTCCAGGAATGAAGGGGAGTGTTGGAGTTAGCGGGAATTAAATCAAGCATTCCCGTAGGTGCAGGAAGGTCAACAGTCGCAAAGGTAAACTGTCGCGACTTTTGACCATTTGGACCGAATGGTTACACATAAGGAATGGCAACAGGCGTAACTGTCCTCACAGTTACTTGCAGCAACCCGGTAACAAGAATAGCAAGAGTCAGGGTTACTATAGAAATACATGTAAAGCAGTTATAATAAGGGAATGTACCCCTTAGAGTACATGGCTAGCTAGATCTATTTATTGCTTGTAATTTTCTTGTTTTAATCAATCTTGTCATCTACATTCACTATGCACAAGGTTCCCATTACATCAAAAACTTCCGCTACCAATCTCTAAGGCATCCTATCCTATCCAAGATCCTTATTCTAACAAACCAAAAATGTGTAGCCAACGAGCTGTAGGCAGGGCTGACGTGTCAAAATAAGGCACTCTGATTTTCTAAACACCAATTTCTTTTACTCTGGATGCATTTTGGCTAGAAAACTGGCAGTCTGACTGGTAAGGGTTCTCATCTCAAGACAGGCAGTTAGATCGGTCAGGTCATCATGTCGACATCAGACAAAATGTCGAGCAAGTTAAACCGTCGGATTTATGGTAACCCTAAATATCGGAAGGCTGAATTTGTCGAAATCTTGATGTGTGTTGTTGAGACGACGGGTTGGCATATGATGTGGCAGCTGCGAGTGAATGGCAACTGCAATGGCGTGACATGGGATGTTAAGTGAGGCGAAATTGGAATACAGCTCTGCTAGTACAATCGATGCTCGCCTTCGCCGCTGATTGTATCTTTGCTTGCTGCCCCTGTCGGCACAACAAAGTTGTAGCTATTGCGATACTGCACAAAGAAAGTAGCAGTTATTTGAAAATCGTCATAGGTTTATTCGCATGCACCGATTAGTATAACATCTACTAAGCAATCATCTTGACTATGTCTAATTTCACGCTGTAATGATACGACCATGTTAGAAATTGTTTTTATGTATAACTACTGTCAGAAGATCGGCACTGGGGATCCCCGATTGATCCTTGGAAGAGTTACATGCATGTTAGCTTGGGGGGTTATGGGCGCACTAACCCGCTTCTGGACCACCACGTAATCTCTGTCTGAATCCGGTAGGACGGGTACTGGGGCAGTAGTCCGTGCTGTCTGTAGCTGCTCCATGGCTTGCTGTTGAGGAGTATTCCGTTTATATGGTGCATCCTTTTTCAGTAAATTCGTTCGTGGTGCTGCTATCTTAGCGTACTGTGGCACGAACGTGTTGTAGTAATTGGCGAGCCTAGGAACTGCTGCAACTCCTTAACGTTCTTGTTAGAAAGTAGAACTGAACGAGAATGGGATGAACTAGGTAGCAGGGTGATACAAGTAGGAAACCCTAGCAATGTTGTACCCCCTAAGGCTAAACCCACTATAGCCTACACAATATAAACATGTATAATGTTTGACACACCCCCATAGGCTAAGTGGGAGACAACCAGATGGTCACAAGACCAGTCAAAGCAAAGCAAAGCAAGCTCAGGGTGGATCTCAAGGAAACCACACAAATTCCGAGCACAAGCAAGCGGTCACAAGACCAGTTCACATGCAGTTTAATAATATAACAAGAGGTACAGTGATCACAACCTAGCAAGTGTAAGCATGCAGGTATATATATAGAGACCACAGTACAAGCAGAGTCAAGAAGTGAGCAAGTGAGGGACAGTAGGCACAAGGCCTAGAACAGTACAGAAACGCTGATGATCACAAGGCTGAAGCGCCTTGGTGAACACATCAGCAGTGTTGGCCCGAGTGGCCACGTACGCAAGACGAAGCTGACCACGCTGCTGCAGCTCTCGAGCAAGGAAGTAGCGCAGAGCGATGTGCTTCGTTCTGTGCTCCAGTCTGTGCTCCTGACACAAGGCAATGGCGGCCTTGTTGTCGACGTACAGCACTGGAGGAGAACGAGGCCGCTCTCCCAGGTCGGTCAGCAGGTAGGTGAGCCAGCGTAACTCCTGTGCAGCCATGGCTGTGGCGTAGATCTCAGCCTCACAACTGGAGCTGAGAACTGAAGACGAGCGTGTAGAACGCCAAGAAACTGAACCAGAGCCAAGGCTGAAGGTGTAACCCTGAGACGACAGCTGCGTAGCCTGGTCGTCAGCCCAAGAAGCGTCTGAGTGCCCAGTAAGGACAACGTCGCTCCGTCCTCCAAGCACAAGCCCCATACCCGACGTACTGCACAAGTAGCGCAACACCCTCTTAGCGGCATCCATGTGCTCCTTCCGGTGACGGCCAGGAGCGACATAGCGAGCAAGGATGCTAAGAGGGTATGCAAGGTCAGGTCGAGTGCAGGTCATGAGGTACATGAGGCAGCCCACAAGCTCTGGATACGGGCCACTTGGCTCTACGGACTCATCCGAAGGCAGAGCTGAGAGCGAGTGACCGGTAGGCAGAGGAGTGGGCTGAGGCGAGGAGTACGTGAAGCGGAAGCGCTGAAGGACCTGCTGCACCATGTGTGACTGAGTCAAGGCGATGGTGCGCTGTGCTCTGTCCCGGGTGATCTGCAAGCCAAGATAGCTTGTCAGCTCACCCAGGTCTGTGCACGTGTGTCTCTTCTGCAGCTCCGACTTCACGTGGGCGAGTGCCTCAGTGTCAGCAGTAGCAAAGACCAGGTCGTCTACGTACACGAGAACGTAGAACGGCGGCAGAGTGGTGTCGGTGCGTAGAAACAGCGACGGGTCAGCAGTAGAAGGAGCAAACCCAAGAGCAGCAAGAGTCGTCCTCAGTGTGTCGTGCCACTCACGGGGTGCCTGGCGGAGACCGTAGACTGGCCGCCGGAGGCTCCACTGGGTACCAGCAGGAAACGACCCAGTGAAGCCAGGTGGGCGGCGCAGCCAGATCTCCTCGTGCAGGCTGCCCTGTAGGAAAGCAGTGGAGAAGTCAAGAGAGTGGAGCTCGTAGTCACGCTGAGCGGCGACGTGCAGCAGAACCCGAAGAGTGGTCATCTTCGGGGTAGGGGAGAAGGTCTGGAAGAAGTCAACTCCCTCTCGCTGACTGAAGCCTCGTGCAACGTAACGCGCCTTGAAGACAGGCGGAGAACCCGGCGGCCGCTTCACCCTGAAAATCCACATGCCACTGACGATGTTCGCCCCAGGTGGGGGAACCTCGTCGACGTAGGTGCCTGTGGACTTCCAGGAAGCCATCTCTGCGTCCATGGCTGTCTGCCACTGAGAGGAGTAGGGACCCTCTATCGCCTCTGCGTAAGAGCGCGGGGTCGGGATGTCTGGTGCATCCGGGTCTCCCTCAGGGGCAATCAGCATGGAAACGAGATGAGGTAAAGCAGCGGCAAAGCACTCAAACTCCTCCTGTCTGTCCTCAAGGACGTCCGTGCCAAGAGCACACTCACCCCCGACGGACGGAGGACAGACAGACTCAGACTCAGCAACAAGGCTAGCGGCGTAGTCTAGACGACAGGC